CTAAGCGTTTGTTTTTGTGCTTCCTTCTATCAACTGTCAATATTACGTTTTCATTATTGTGCAACACCCATGTAACAGTGACGTTGAAGTTGATACGATAAGTATGGTTTTGCACACTTTTTGTGGGTGTTTTCCTTAATTATTTCAAAAAGAGTTGACAACGAGAGCACACTGGTGGGACCGGGTCGAAATATAGTACAACCTGGATGCCCTCTTATCAGCTTTTTTATTGCCGTTGCACCGGTCGTGTCCCTGTCAGAAGATGGTGCTGAGTTATCAATTAAGTAAAATAAGCAGCGCAGTAACAATTGGAGTTTATTTCAACTCATATATGTGATCGCCAAAAAGGAACAAAAAAACCTTAGATGTCGGATTTACTTTTCAAGTAATACATGATACATGAGGGTGTAAGTTTTGTTGCCTTGGAAGCTACTCCTTAGGCAGTGTCGTAAAATTCCTTTAAATTTTAAATGGCATCCTATGTTCAGTTACACCTCACTTTAAAGCTTTTTCCATTCTGCTCACGACGACATACGACCTTTTAAATTTTGCTTTGGATATGTCAATAAAATCATCACTTACGGAATAAGACAAAATATACATGAATAAAACAATGTTATTTTAATAAATGTTCAAATTGGTTTCCCTCCGCTTCCATACAATAATAAAATCTTTGCTCCACTTCCAAACGAACATTTCGAAGCATTTTCGGCGTTATCTGATGATATTCTTCAACAATTTCTTGATAAAAAAATTTGTTTTGATTTTTCGTTTATCTGTCAATATAAAAACTTCATACTCTATCGGTTTACTTTTTTACCTGTTTTACCTTAAACGAGACAATATTGTCTCATCTTGTCTTGTCGAGACAATATCACAGTCGATAGAATTCCAATTCGTAAAAATGGTTTATATAACTGCTAAAAAAGTGAAAATAATTAGTTTGTTCTAGAAGAATAATGACTGTGCACGGCAGGCAGCATAGAGTTGAACAATGATCGTCAACCTGACAAAAACAATTCGCATCGGTACGTCCTGGATTTAATGCACAAATTTTCCAAAACTGGATCAATTGCAAACAGAAAGCATCAACGTGAGCAGATCGTACATAATGAGGGTAATCAGGTAGTTGTCCTAGACTAGACCAAATCCCAATGGAACCAAATTTGAGTCTCAAATACTTCAGGAATTTCTGTACCTAGTTTCCCCCGAATCTTAAAAATTCATAAGTATCACCCATACAAAATTAATTTGCTACAAGAAATTAACAATCCTGATCGCCGCTTGCAGTTCTGTGAAGAAATATGATTGTGCTCGAAGGAATCCAAATTTTTTGTACTCAATCTGTTTTTTCGATAAATGTACGTTCCAACTGGATGGTCGAATCAACCGCTATAATGGCCACTACTGAAGTACGGAGAAATCCATGTACTTTTCATGAAGCTCATACACAGCATTCGAGGAAATTGAATGTTTGGGTAGGAAAATCTGGATGAAATAATGTATTTGAATCTACTGGAAACTAATATCTACTCGATGATTGTGGAAGTATTGGAAAAAGACAATGCTTTGCCAGAAGAGGATGTTTCAGAAGGAAGGTGCTATGATTCTGGATGTTTCAGAAGGAAGGTGCTATGATATGCGTGATTTTCTTAATCAGAACTTCCCGAATCAATAAATAGGACGCAGAGGTTCAATTGAGTGGCCCCTCATATCGCCGGATCTAACGCCTTTAGCTTTTTCTATGGGCACTTAAAGTCGAAAATTTATGCAACACGACCAAACTCACTTGAGGAGCTTCGTCGGAGAATCATTGAAGAATGTCCTCAGATAATGCCCGAAATGCTTCAAAATGTTCTTTCAGCAGACTTTATTATCACAGTTTAAAAATATATACAGTTGGATCACTCCTTTGATCTATTTAAATATGCCGGCATTTTTTTGCAGAAAGCCGTAAATTATGTTGACAGGAGACGGAGCATACTTTAGGGCTTGCAACGAGCTTTACACCAAATTTAACTGGTCAGCGCTTATACGAGGGTTATTTAATAAAATTGCTGTGCTAGATATTAAAACTTGTATTAATTAAAATATTTAATATTATATGGTAAAAATAAACTAGAATAACTTGTTATATTAATTTATGAAAAAACGAAAATAATACCTAACAAAAAAAAATCATAATTTTTGGAAATGAGGTTTCATATACAGGGTATATCTAAATAACACCGAAAAAATTCAAGGGGCGATTCTCCGATGAAAATTAATAGGGGTCTTTGGTATAAAATTTTTTGAAAAAACCCTTCCCTGAAAAGTTACGCCCCTCCTAAAATTACAAAAAAAAATTGTTTTTCTTTTTTATCTTCCACGTACATCAAGCTAAAGAAACCAAACTTGGTGAACATTATCTGTCAATAAAACTACACTTTTTGAAATTTTTTCAACCCTGAACTATTTTTGTAAGGGGTTGAAATAATCAACCCCTATGACATTTTTTCTTATAATTTTTTTTTCGATAAAATTTTTTCCTTTTAAAAAATATGTCTAAAAAACCCCATTCATTTACTAACTTTTTGATCTCTTCAAGTTTCTTCGAAAAGTTAAGGATTTATG